TCAAAACACCCGGCCACTGTCTGTTCACCTGCAAAGAACATGACAAAACACAGCAACAAAATACATATGTATAAAGAACTTAAAATATTCATGGCTTTGCAGTAAGTTTCAATAAATATATATACCCATACCTACGCCTATATACATACATACATACATACATACACATGAATATACACTCACATACATATCTATATATCTACATATAAAGCCTACATAAACATCCCTGCTTCTATTTGTGTGTGGTTGTGAGCATGCATAAGTGTATAAGGCTTCTCTAATAGAACATTTATTAGTAATTGTGAAGCAGCAGAGACCCGACCCCCAAGACCAGAGGCAGACGAAAAAGTGGGGACCAGAGCCCAAGACCCCAGGAGGGACCCCGACCGCGGAGCCCCCAGAGCCACCCACACAGGGCGAACCACCCACCCACCCCCCAGAAGGGACCACAGGGGAGAACCGGAAGATCCCCACCAGCAACCACATACAGTGACCCCCCGGGGCCAACAGCGACAAACTCATAGGCCTCCGTCGGCACCCGCCACACCGATGTAGGTCCAGGTCCAGGCACCGAGGCCCGGGCACCGAGGACTCACACCACCCAGGCCAAGGCCCGACAGGGCCAGAGGACCCGAGCCCCACCAGGCAGACACCAGGCCGAGCCGACACACGCCCAAGCGCCCAGCCCCCGATACCAAGGGCCCCAAGCGCGCCGGCAGGCAAGGGCACACCCCACCAGGGGGCCGCGCGATAGGGGCGCGATGCCAAGCACCCCCAGTTGTATCAAAGAGGGGGCAGTCCGAGTCTCGGCCTAACAAATACCCATTCATACACATACACAATCACACTATCCCAACCTCAATCTCACATTCATTCACTCAAAGACATACAATAACGATACATTTCATTCTTATTCCCGATACACACTCTATACCCCCCAGGTCCAAGACAAAACATCTTCTAACATTCTGACAATTCGTATGTTAGACACAAATAATTAATTCCTGCTGTAAAATTAGATCCCGACCAATATGGAAATGTTGGCTATCGCAGATATTGATATTGGGAGGGGCAGGCAGATGCTGATAACTGACATGGCTGAAAAAACGTGTGCTTTGTCTAGCCCTAAGATTCTAAGTAAACAGCCAGTGGAGGATTTCTAGTTTATTTAGCTGTTAGCAATAACGAAGCAAAGCTAATCAGATCCACCTATAATAAGTCCCACTGTGCTGAACTTTGTTCAAAGATAATAAGAAGTTCATGAAGTAAGTTACAATAAATAATTTCATAGGTAATAATTAGTTTAAGTGGTGAGGTGCGATAGATGAAGCTTTTGTCCTTGGGAACTCATGTCCCAGGAGAAATTTGATAGTCAGCCTGTCTCCGAGGCCGTCGGGAGTCTGATTCAGATTCTTGTTTTTCTTCAGGCAGACAGATTTTTTTCTTCAGCCTCGAGTCCATCTGGGCGTTCTGGTTCCGAAAATGCCTAATTGTGGGATTACATTCCACTGATCCATGCTATGAGTCTCCTTCAAGGAAGAACCCGCCACGCTGACGAGTCCCAGAAGCCGCAGGTGGTCTGCGATTCTCAATCACCTCCACCTTACGGTTAAGCTCGTAGACCAGACGATTTAAAGTTCCCACAGCGAGGACCAGACATTCACACTGACTCAGAAGCTTTACCATGGTCGAAACTGCTGCCGATGTCTTCTTCAAAAGTCGATAAAACAGAGCCCCGCCGATGCCAAAAAGCAGAGTCCCTGCTATCATAAGTCCAAATATGTAAACGTCTTCAACATCCTCTTGAGACAGGACTGTGATGCACATCATCTGCCACACTCCCCATGAATCCATGACGTACCCCACAGCGTGAGTCTCAGCTGGACACGCCGGTTCTCCAGGACCTTGTCGTTTTGATGAAAAAATCTTATCAATAGAGTTGAACGCCCACGATACCAAATCCATAGTCTTCTTAATTTATGTTCGGGAGATGAGACCCAAACGCTTCAGACAGACAGAGAGCAGAGCAGGAGGAAGGAAAATGGGGGAGGAGAAACAGAAGCTGCCACCTCGATGAGAGCCTGGGAGGAAAATAATCAGTGAGACACCTGATCTTTGTCAAATTGTACGTGCAGCACGTGAGGTAGTGAGCGCTCTCACCACAGAACCGGAGAAAATACGTCAAAGATTGTTATCTTTGACGTATTTTCTCCGGTAAAACAAGCGCTTCGTAAAATAAGGGAGAAAACGGCTCATATACACACTTGTGCCTTGGGAGACTTTCGTCGTTTTACAAATTCATAAATAAAAGGTTTTCAGTAAAATCAAGACAGCAAGCCTTGTCTGAGGACTTCCTTTATTTTGTTCACTGTCTGTCTAACTTCACACGGTCACGTGTGGTAGGACGGCGTATCCACAGCTTGCTAACTTGAGAGGCACGTAGCTAATGCCAAGCAGGTTGGAGGATTGAAGAGAATTTATTATCGTGGTCTTTTATTTTACAGATCCGTTAAAATAAACTTACATGCTCTGTTCAGCTAAATACACAACACGGTATCGCTCCCTGCTTCATCTGTGCTGAATGTCAAAGTGAAACTTAAAGTGAACAGCCATGACTTGAACGTATCTCCATGCACCCTCTGCGGGATACATTGTACACTTACAGCTGTTTCCAGCATTTTAGAGGTGAAAATTAAAGTGTTTATATAATGGGACCATTATGCCAAGAAGTCCCCAAATGCCTGTATCTGCCAAAATTATCAGCCCTACCGATATATTGGTCGGGCTCTAGTAAAAACTATGCAAATCACTGGATCAAAACAAGTACAGGAGGTAAAAAGTGAAGAGCATGAAGTTGTTTTGAAAATGTAATCGACGTGTGTCCAGGGGAAATCATGGAGGTTCATGTTCCAGATGGTGTACCTGTTGACTTGAGGGCCAAACTGGTAGTCTGTCTCATCCAGCTGCAGGTCCTCACACCAGTGGAGGTAACAGCTGACACATTACTCCCGTCTTAAAGAGGCCATTACTTTGTAACAGAGAGACTTTTATTTTGGCAGGGCTTGGTGTCATCCCTGATGGAGCAGAGTCCAGAAGAGATCGGAGACCTGTACCTGGACGTAGGTGAAGCCTACATCGAGCAGGGACAGTACCTGTCTGCCCTGCCTCTGCTGTCAGCCCTCGTCATTTCTGAGAAATACAACCTGGCAGTCGTCTGGCTGCGCCATGCAGGTGAGACCGGACGAACACGGGACGGAGACGTCTCAGAGGGACACTTCAGATTATTAGACGTGGGGGTCTATGGTAGGGGCGGATGTTCCAATAACAAAACTAGAGAAATTGTGTTTCCCATGAAAATTCAGTGTGAATGAATCCATTTTTTTAAAAGCAATCGGTTCTTCTCATCCTAAGCTTTTCATTGTACTGTTAACCCTGTGTTGTCCTTGCATATGACAAATAAACAACTTGAATGCCTGTTGCAGAAGAACTTGCTGAAAAACAGCTGAAATTAGCTAAAAAAATGCTGAAATGGAAAAGCCTAAGTAAGCAGAAGAAAGCAGAAAGAACACACATTTGCTGAATTAGGTTTAAATAAGCAGAAATGAGCACAAAAATTAGTAATTTAGCTAAAAAAGCTGAAATAAGAAAAAAATAGCTGAAAAGTATGGTAGCTGAAAATGCAGAAAGAAGTTTAAACTACCAAAAGGAAGCAGAAGGAGCTGAAATGAGCTAAAACAATGTGGCATTAGCTGAAAAAGCTAAAATTACAATAAAACAGCTAAATGGTAGCTGAAACTAGCAGAAAAAGCTAATTAGTCTGAAAGTAAAACATGCAAACACAAAATTGCTGAAAACACAGAGCAAGCTTAAATTAGCAGAAGAAAGCAGAAAGAACACGTTTGTCTAATTAGGCTGAAATGATCACAAAAAACTGGAAATTATCTGAAAAAAATCTTAGATTAGCAAAAAACAACTGAAAAGTAGCTTAAAAAGCATAAATAAGCTTAAATTACCTGAACAAAGTCGAGAGAGCACATTTTTGCTGAATTAAGCTGAAAAAAGTTTAAATCAGATCACAATCTTGTTTCTCTGCTCAAAATATAAACCCCTTGTTCAGAGGCAACCTGCAATAAAGAGAACAGTGAGAAAATGGTCAACGGAAGCTGAAGAAGCCCTGCGGGGTTGTTTTGAGGCTACAGACTGGGATGCACTGTGCCAGCCACATGGAGAGGACATCAGTGCCATGACTGAGTGTGTGACCGACTATATAAACTTCTGTGTAAACAACACCACCCCCACCAGAACAGTGAGATGCTTCTCCAGTAACAAACCCTGGATCACCACTGACCTGAAGGAACTGCTAAACCAGAAAAAAAGAGCCTTCAGGAAGGGAGACAGGGAATTATTGAAGAGCACACAGAAGCAACTAAAAGTCAAGATCAGAAACATCAAGGAGGTGTACAAGAAGAAGCTGGAGAGCAAACTCCAACAGAACAATATCAGAGAGGTGTGGTCAGGGATGAAAAAGATCACAGGCTTCAAGCAGAAGGAGGATCAGAAGGATGGAAGCCTGGACAGAGCCAATGAACTGAACATGTTCTTCAATAGGTTCAGTTCAGGAACAAGCTCAGCATCCTCCTCTCTTGCCCACAGCCAAACATACATACCACCTCCACTGACCCAAGGCTGTCCTGTCACACCTCAAATATTGTATCTACCACCTCAGTCATGGACCCTTCTTCTACATGTTGGTCTTCAACCAAATCAGAAGATGCTTATACCTCCTTTGCCTCCCCCCTCTGCGTCTCCAGAAGTCAGTTGAGGAAGCAGCTGGAGAGACTGAACCAGGATAAGGCTGCAGGTCCAGATGGTGTCAGTCCCAGAGTCCTGAAGGTCTGTGCAGAGCAGCTCTGTGGGGTTCTGCAGCACCTCTTCAACCTTAGCCTGACCCAGGAGAAGGTTCCTGTGTTGTGGAAAACCTCCTGTCTTGTTCCAGTACCAAAGAAAACTCACCCATCAGTCCTCAATGACTATAGACCTGTTGACTTGACATCCCACATCATGAAGGTCCTAGAGAGACTCCTGCTGACCCACCTGACTAGACAAACAAGCACATATCAGGACCCAGTGCAGTTTGCTTATCAGCGTGGACTTGGAGTTGAAGATGCCATCATACACCTGCTTCAGCAAACTCACTGTCATCTAGAAAAGGCAGACAGCACTGTGAGAGTCATGTTCTTTGATTTCTCCAGTGCATTTAACACAATCCAGCCTGATCTGCTTTGACAGAAACTCCAGAAGACTCAGGTGGAGGCCTCAACCATCACCTGGATCAAAGACTACCTGACAAACAGACCACAGTTTGTGAGACTGAAGGGTTGTGTGTCTAACCAGGTGGTCAGTAGCTCAGGAGCACCACAGGGGCCTGTACTCTCACCATTCCTTTTCACTCTGTACACCTCAGATTTCCAGTACAAACCAGACTCCTGTCATCTGCAGAAATATTCTGATGACTCTGCAGTGGTCGGGTGGATCAGAGATGGACAACAAGCTGAGTACAGGGAACTGGTGGACTAATTTGTGGCATGGTGTGGAAACAATCATCTCATCTTGAATGTGAACAAAACAAAGGAGATGATTGTAGATTTCAGGAGAAACAGAAACAGGTCCAACCATATTTCCATCATGGGAGAAGAAGTGGAGGTGGTGAAGAAGTATAAATACCTTGGGGTTCACCTGGACAACAGACTGGACTGGAGATGCAACAGTGAAGCGTCTACAAGAAGGGACAGAGCAGACTGTACTTCTTGAGGAACCTGAAGTCCTTCAACGTTTGCAGCAAGATGCTGCATATCTTCTATAAGTCTGTTGTAGAGAGCGCTATCTCTTCTGCATCATCTGCTGGGGGAGCAGCACCAGAGCAAGTGACATAAAAAAGATCAACAAGCTCATAAAGAAGGCTGGCTCAGTTCTGGGGACTCCTCTAGAACCTTTGGAGATGATTGTTCAAAGAAGGATTCTTCATAAAATGAAGAACATTATAGGCAACCCTCAGCATCCTCTTCATCAGATTGTCATACAACAACAGAGTGTCATACAACATCAGACTGTCATACAACAACAGACTGTCATACAACATCAGACTGTC